AACGAATAAAAGTGAGGTTTAGTGTTTTTTTGCAATTTTTTGCATGAATAATATTTTCTGGCAGTGACGATAACCGTCACACGACGGACGAAAGCTCAGCAACGAGTCATCGGGGCCGTAGGACGGTGAGCCGAGGTCTTCTTCGTACATTTCAAGAGACAAAAGTCCAATTCAACCCTCCTGCTGTATCCGGTGCCGCCAATCTACGAATCCCTTCGACCCGCTTTCGCAAACGAAATAAAAGGTATGCCAGTATCAATATATTAAGGGATTCATCGAAACTCAGCTTCTCTTCACATTAAAAGGCATTGTTTTAACTCGTATTCACAGCTCTTTTGCTCAAATTATAACTCGTAATGTTTTTCCCATTACAATTTATTTACTAACACTGTTGCTCCAGCCATTGTCCTTTCTGCTAAGCCTGGATGCTTATCGATAGCTCAATCTCGTCGCAATGTATATTAGAACTTTGGATTCCTCAAGCCTTTTGACCCTTTATTAGGCTTTAATTCACTTCTTGCTCTGCTACATAAACAAGTAGAGCCAGTTTATTCGGCCGACAGTGCTGAACAATCATGGAGCCGCTTGTTCCTGCATGTCATACCTTCTTATGCCCCCATCAATATCGGATTAGCAAGATTCCTCCCGTTACCGAAACCATTGCACTCATTTAACTCGATATGTAGTTAACCTCTCGGATGAATTTATTAGGAAATAATCGCATACCAATTCTATCTAGACCGATGTTTGTGAGGGAAACTTTATTCAAATTAAATCTACTTTAACTTCTAATATTCAATTTAAAGTGACAACATTTTGATAATTTTAATTTAAGCGAAACTACAACGTAAAGATGCTAAAACAGGAAAATTTTCTATCGCTTCGCAACTGTCATGGGTCCTTTTGGCCTACGGAAGTATCAATTTCGTCTACATTTATCTTATAACTATATTGAATATGTTCAAGATGAGGTTAAGCAAAGACTTTTCTTTTGCACTTACTAGAAGCTCTTCTCATCCAGAATGTACAACAGTTTTATCTGCTCTTAGATCACATCATCACCCTTAGTGGGATTTAAGAGACGACCTTAACCATCCCATCCTTGACACATTGTTACACAACAACTATTACGTTCAAGGCAAAGTAAGCCTTCATAAGCTCACATCCTCTTTTATGTTATCAAGCACAGATGAGCAACTGTATGCTTTCCAGTAAGCTGGATACGTTGATTCGTTTGGTCTTAGTAATAGATGTAGTTGTCAATCAATCAAGTTATATTGATGGCTTCGTGAGCTGATTATTAGGTGTATAATAATAAGATATGTACTCATCCTATTTCGTTTTGGATGATGAAGGAATGGTAGTTGAATAAGTAAATCCGTTTGTAATAACAATGAGAAGATTACCTTGTCTATAGCAATCAAATTATTAAAATAGTGACTTGAACAGGCCTTTCATGCTACACATTGGCACCCAAAACTGGGTGAAGGAATAGCAACGACCCAGTTTCCAACCCCTTTGAAGTGCTGATAAGCCCTAGTCCAGGCCAAGTTTGCAGTCCATTCGGATGAGAAAACTATGTGGGAGGCAAAGCTATCAGAAATCCACAGACTCATGCTCATTTTATTGTGGGAAATTCCACTATCAATCCTTAAATCACCTTGAGCTAAGTAGGGCGACTCTAATTGCTATTGAAGATCTACGTTTATCAACGGATTCTACTCACTTTTTATAAGCAACACTTGCACAATAGTTTACCTTGCGGCAGGCGACGGGTGGATAGCTCGGGGATCGGTTTAATTCTATGGTTTTCTGAAAGTCTGTTACTTGAAAATGAGCAGATTGCCTGTTTTCATTACTAGCTTTTCTATTTTCGACAATCTTTTCTCTACATCCTCCGGCTTTTTCCATACCGGCCTCCATTTCTGCATCCGACTTGACTCTGCGCCAATCTCTTTTAAGGCAGCTGGTTGACCACCGTTCCATTTTAATATTCGAATTGCCCAGCTGCAATTGTGGATTCGGTGAGAAAACACTGTTTTCCCAGTAATTTTGAGACGGCGCCTTATTCAACTGATCCAGACCAGATTCTGATTCAGTTACCACGGCCTGATGCTGATGATGTGTGGACCATCTTGAAGTAGCGGGATTCACGTCAATGGAGATTTGTTCGTATGCTTGAGCAGAGCATGCAGTAGCAGCAAAATCCTTGTTTAGAGGCCATTCTTGCATGAGATAAGATGGCCCAGGCTGATTTAGGTTTACTTTGCCAGAAAGACCTTCATTAAATTGTAAGGTATTTCCTCCTGAAAGAGCATAAGAGAAAGGACATCTGCCATGTAAATCTTTTAGTATGTAAATCGTGCATACTAACGATTCGCTTTTGCACGATAATTTTTATAAATTGTAAATAAATGAGAGAACTATTAATTGAATTTGAAAGCAAATATAATTTTCTACAGAATTTCCAAAGGCCTTAGCTGTCTTTATACAAACTAGGAACAGTTTTGAGATTATGGGTAAATAGACTTAAGGAAGTAGGAAGGAAAGTAATAAAAATATGCAATAAGGCAAAGATAATAAAATGAGCTCTGAGATTTATTCAGACATAGACAATGCTGCTGCAGAATTTGAAAGCAGATAAACAGAGGAAAGAGATTTCAAAATTTCTTAATCCTTCCACATCTTATATTAACCCCTACCCCTTCTTATAACAAATATAATGATAGTTTATATGGCTACATATTATTATTAATATCAATACTATTAGTAACTATTATTTTTTTTAATTATTATTATTTCACAATTTGGTCAATCGAAAAATAAAATGCAAAAATTTTCATACTGACAAAAGTCCTAATGTAAAACGTGATTTGCGAGTTGTCTGGTTAGCCTTAAAATTCATTTATGTTCTATAACCTACAAACACATACGGC